TCTTATCTAAATAATAAGAGACTTGGTCTGAGGTGTGGTTACTCTTAATCCTCAAGGCCAGATAATGACAGACTTATTCTAAGGTGTGGTTACTATTTAGAGAATAAAGGAAGAAACCTTGTTTCTTCCTTGTATCATGATAAAGAAGTCTTTTTGCCATTTTCCTCTTTTGGGTTGGGGTAAAGTTGAAGAATAAATTTGGAGCATTCAGTATTCACTGGATTGACCTCCTGACTCTATTCTGTGTCTCTATCTTTTCCTCAGTAACTTTACCTGCCCTTTCTCAATCCACACACCGGCTATCAGGTACGAACCAGCCAAGTCGTCTGAATTTGACTGAAGCCCCACCGAGCAGGCTTACAACAGCCATCCCCTTAAAGAAAAGTGAGTCCTTTCCCACCGCACCCACACCACAAGCCATCAGCTGTGAAGAGCTACACTTCAGCTTCTTTATTACAGTTTTGAGGGCTCTCTTCAATAGTTTCCTGTCTGAACTGTCCTTTTTGGGGGGTGTCTAAGGGCAGTTATCACAGAAACCAATGTCTTTCATTCTCATTATGAGACTGCAGTCATCAATACCACTGCAAAAGAAGCTTCCTTGGCCATAGCAGTGGGCAGCATGAACTACGGAGCATGAACATCAACCTGGTGCCTTGGTCAGCACAGACCACAGACATCAACAAAGCCTGCTGTGGCATATGGATCATGGACACCAACATGGCCTCTGGGAGCAACATGAACCACAGAAGTCTTTCAAGGAGCAGTAATCCAGAAAACAAACCTTTCTTCATTTTGAATATCTTGTTGCTCAGAGGCAGAGCTCCAAGCTGCTGTAACCACCCTGCCCCGAGTGCCATCCACCTCACCCACACCACGCTTGTAGCTTGGTTGTGAGGAGTGTGGTTAGCTAGCAGTCTCTGATGCTAACTGCTTCATACCCACGTCACCTTTGCGCTAAGGTGCTGGTCTCTTTGGGGTGCACCTCCAATGACTGAACAAAACCATGGCAAAGCATTTCGGCCTCACACGAGACAGACGGTGAGCTGGTGTCAGCAGTGTGTACTATTACTTTGGCTTCTAGGGGACTAAGGAATATTTCCGCCTGGAACACAAATCAAATAAGCTTGTGTTCCTTGCTATTCTTCTTGGCACTGAATGTACCTTGGCATCATATGAATGACTTGAATGTTTCCACAGGATTTCTGAATGAGTTACTTGTTTAATTAGCTAAAAAGTGAGACTGAGGTCAAGGTCATTAAATCTATATCCTATTATCCAGTTAGTTTCAGAAATGCTAGCTAGTTAAAAATGGGCCGTTAACTGGTTATACATAAACCCCTTATACCCCTTACACACACTCTGCTAATCATTTCTCAACTGCCTTAGCTTTGTCATATAAACAGTCTACACTCGGTGTCAGATGGAGGAGGGGTGTTAGCATGGTCAGCGACAAGGAAGGTGCCTGAACTGAAGTCATTGAGTGGAAGGGAACAGCTTTTGCTTTCTGCTATGGAAGCAACTTCTAATTCATTACTAGAAAAGCGGTAATCCATAGCCAGGTGTGGTGCTACAGCCTGTAATCCCAGTCTCTGGAGCCTGGAACAGGAGGATTGCCACATGCCCAAGGCCATTCAGGGCTACATAGTAAGATCAAGGCCAGCCTTGCTGTGCAGGGTTCCAACAAGGTCATATCAGGCTCTCAGGACTCACATTAAAAAAGATGTTCATGGCTGAATACACACTTCAGCCAAGCAGTGGGTAGGCGATGGAGACTGGAGGATTGCTGGGACTTGCTGGCCAGCCAGCCTAGCTGAAATGTAACCTCGAGCTCCAGATTCAGTGAGACATCCTGTCTCATGGGAACAGAGTAAACAGTAATAGAGGAGATGACTGCTGTCCTTTCTGACTTCTGCATATACTAGCCCTGGCACAGGCATGTTCACACACAAACACATGTCCACACACACCAAAAACAAAAAAAAAGGAAGAGGAGAAGGAGAAAGTAAAAGCACAAACCCAAAAGGAATCATTCACCTGTCCACCCATGAAAGCCTTGTTGGAGAGGAGAGAGCTGTAGTCACCCCTCACTCACTCCATCCTGAGCTACAACCATAGTCCCACATTTGAAAGAATCCATGAGCACTTTCTTCAGTAGTGCCTGCCAGGCAGACACCTCTGGAGGTCTACAGCACTGTTTATTCCTCTTTCTCTATTTAACCATCCTCCCTTCATGTTAAAAACTCCCTGACCTGGGTAGTCAGTTAATAAAAGCAGAGCCTCCTGGGTTAGTCTTGGGTTTAAATCTAAGTTCTCCCGTTGACTGGCTGGATGACCCTGGACAGTTAATTAATGTAACACAAATAATATAAACCCAGAGACTGATATTGGGGTTCAAGCTGAAGATCAGATAAGCAAAGCAGCCAAGCAACCAGAGAGTTCTTACTTCTGCCAAGGCTGGAAGGGGGATGCTGTCCTCAATGTTGCTGGAGACTCAATGCATGCTCTGAGACCCTGCTCCTGTCTTATTTACCTCTCTAATTCTGATTCAAGGCATGCACCACCATCACCCAGCTTCTATGGCTAACTAGTATGGCTGCTGGGATTAAAGGTGTGTACCACCACTGCCTGGCCTCTATGGCTATGACTACCTTTGCATTCTGCTCTCCAGGCAAGCTTTATTAGATCATAAACAATGTATCACCATAATTTACTCTTTCTGAGTTTTAATTCATACTATGGTAAAATGAATAAAATAGTACATACCATATAGAGCCAATGCAAGGTTGAAGTAAGATAAAATATAAGTACCTGCCTCTTTTTTGAGTTCTTTATTTTCCCAACACAAACGCTATTTTATGTTTCCAGTTTCAAGGTAAATGAAATTTGCACTGATACAAAATATGTTCTGATTATAACTATGTCTTTGTAAGCAGACTCTTGGCATTTCTGCTTGGAACTCTATCAGCAAATATGACTTTGAAAACTACTGTTTTTGTTTAATGATGAGATTATGTCCGGTCTATAGAAATCCAATTGTCTCTAAGACAAAAACAGCTGATGCAACTTGACTATTAACTTAGCAGTTTGGATTCTGGTGTCAATGCTCTCTGAACAAAGGTTGAGTGGCTTTTGGGGTCTGTCAGCTTAGCCTCGGGAACATATGGGCAGGAGGCACTGGGCCAAAAGAGGGTGTGTGATCCCCTGTAACTGAAGTTACAGACAGTTGTGAGCTGCCATGTGGGTGCTGAGAACTGAACATGGGGTCTCCTCTGCTACAGGCCACAGCATTATACATGGAGATCTCAGCTGCCAAAATCATGAAGCTGACCCACCAGGGTCATCATGCATTCCATTGGAGGAAATCCAATTTGCAGAGCTTTGGGGATACCTGCCTTTTGTATAGTCACTGTCACTTCTATAAAACCCTTGTAAAATCACAGTGCTCCCCTTTCCATAGTGGGATTCATCCCCCAAACCCTAGCAGTGTATTAAACAATTATTGGGCACAACTCCCTGTTGAACTGGTAAACTGGATAACCTTCCCCCCACATCATGGGCCCTGGTTCGAGAGTATTCACACAGAAAAACCTTTGTTCTCATAGTCAAATCCACATAACTTAGAAGCTAACTCCCTACAATTATCTCTTATGGCAGGACATCTTGCAAGGAGAGGAGCCTTGCCAATAGACCACATTCAGAACTTCAAAAGATAGGCACTGAGTAGGAGACATGGCCCTCCTGACAAGCAGGACTAGGCAGCCTTGATTTCTCTACAGCCAGTTCAGGAGACTGCAACCTACTTGGCCCTGCTCTACACTAACAAGGTATTAATATTTTGTACTCACCTCCACCTCAGTTTCACTGACACAAGATCCTAGTCTAGGAAATTAACTGTTTGTTCCTTTACCCCTAGAGATACAAGAAAAAGCACTGGATCACTTAACCAGCCACAGAAACAGGAATTCCATCTCACCAGGGCATCTGCAGTATGAGTGCACTGATGCTTAGCCCAGGCAGAGTCCTCCTATTTCACATAGCCTTTCCCAGACCCCAGGGAAGGAAGCAGAAGAAGGTGCTCAGAGAGTGCACAGAACTGCCATGTTTTCTTCACTTTTTCTACATTTACCAATTACAAACTTCTAGCTTAACTAGCCACATAAATGTAGTTTTATGCACTAACACTCCTTCACCCCTCTTAAACATCATAGCCCTTGCTCCATTAACACTTCCTGACTCTTAGTTTTGCCCAGGTACCTGTTTAAAAAAACAAAACAAAACAAAAAAACAAAAAACACTACCTCTGACACATAAGGCACCCACTTTGTCAGATCTTATCTGTTTTTAGGTCCTGAGAAATGCATGTCTTGTATCTTGGATATTGCCAGAGAATTGCTAATTGTGTCTGTATGAGTATATAAACTGGACACTTGTGGGATCAGAAAGAACTTTTTAAAGAATAAACATATATGAGTAGCATATGTCTAAGAGCTGATTCATTCATGCTCAGATCCTTTTAACCAGACCCCATGCTTGCTGTTTAGCACCATGCCTGAACCTTGAAGGGAAACAGAGGCTGGCACTCAGAGATCTGAATACTCCTCAAAAACAAGTTTCAAGGACTCTGACTCCCTCTTCTGACCTCCACAGCACCAGGCATGCAGCAGTGCACAGACACATATCCAAAACAAGCATTCGTAAACATAAAAGAAAAATAAATATTTTTAAAATGATTAATACATCTACTTCTACACACCATTGGAGTCTTAGAGCAAAGATGCTCTGCCCCCTTGGCCTCCCACTTCAGTTCCATCCCCCCCACATATAATTGGCTTTCTGATTTCAAGCCAGATCTAGTTACAGCTGGCAGGTTCCAAATGGCAGCTCTCTAAGGCATCCACTATTTTTCTTGATACTATGTTTTGAGAAATGTGAAACTACAAAATCAATCCATGGAAGATGGGACTGCCAAGTTTGAAGAGGGCAGAAGCAATTCTTGGCCTCACATCAGTAAGTGAGGAAGCATTCCACAGAGGGTGACAGAGGTGGAGGAGATCCATAGTTACAAAAAACAACAACAACAACAAAAACTGAACTCAGAAACTGTATAAGTACAAAGCAGCCAGGGAGTGGAGTACAGCCACCATCAGGAAAGACTCAGTCCTGACTCAGAGACATTCTATTCCCTACCAAAATGAAACTGTTGCTGCTGCTTCTGCTTGTGCTGGGTTTGGAGCTGATCCTAGTGTGTGTCCATGCAGAAGGAAAAACTGGTCTCATTGGAAAGAACTTTAATCCAGAAAAGGTAGACTCTGTGGGGCATGGGGACTTCTGACTCAGAGGGTTCTTCAGGGAACTCTGAAACCAAGTGGGGCCTTTAAGAGGAGGGTTGTGGCTTGTCACTCTGTGAGACAAATGAGAGACTTCAGACTGTGAAGCAAGACCACCTGTGAGTTATCCATATCTAACAATGCCTGGGGTCCCTCACTCCCACCGAGAGATAGAGACACGATCTTAAGCATTGTGCCAACTGATGTAAGATCTAGTCCTGTGTATGCTCATGCCTAGGCCCAGGTCAGAGTTCAAGTGGAAACCTGTCCATGAGGTGCCCCTGCCCTTCCTCTCTTAACAATTTGCTTCTCTATTACAGATTAAGGGAAAATGGTATACCATTGGTTTGGCCTCTGACAAAAGAGAAAAGATAGAGGAACAGGGAAGCATGAGAGTCTTTGTGGAATACATTCGTGTCTTTGAGAACTCTTCCTTAGCTTTTAAATTCCATACCATGTAAGTGTGTTCTTACTGAAAAAGAAGAAATGGAAGCCTGTCATGTAGGTGCACATACACACACACACACACACACACACACACACACACACACACACACACACCCATATGCATGTACCCACACAAACACACAAAGAAACATATGCTCCTCAAAGCACATACTACACACACACACACACACACACACACACACACACACACACACACTGATACTAAACCAAGATTTCATAACTGGGGCTTTTTCACAGAGCAGAGACAAGTGTTGGGGACAGGAACAAATTCACCGGGGATGAAATAAGCAAAGGTCAGAGGCATTTCTGACACCATAATTACTGAAAAGTACAGCACAGGTTAAAAGTAGATGATCATGAATTAAATATTTCTGACTAGTTGTTAGCCAAGAAAGTCCACCCTTCAACTGCAGTAAAGGAGGCTAATAATAATTCTCTGTGGGGTGGAGGGCCACATTGGGCAACATTGCAAAGCACTAATTTGATGCAGATGGTGGACTCTGGCTGATCATCTGTACAAGTGAGTGACGCTGAGAAGTAGTCACAGTTTTAACAGTGATTTGATGAGATTATCTTTCTTTTTCTAAATGATATGCAAATGTATGTATACTAAAGTATCAAGTATAGGTGAAGTAACACAAATGAAAGCCTTTGCTCATTTTACAAACACGTTCAAAAGTTAAGCGGAATCAGAAACAGGAGATTCGGGTGGAACAGAGGCTGAGGGGACCAGCCGTATCCAGGCCCTTAACCAGCAGCTGACTCTGTTTCACAGTGTAAATGGAGAGTGCACCGAGCTGTATGTTGTTTGTGACAAAACAGCAGAGGATGGGGAATATGAGGTTGAATGTAAGTATACAGAACGTCTCTATATCTATCCATAAGAGACTTAGTAAACCCAAATGTCTTTAGTATGTGTGTGCGCGTGCGCGCGTGCGTGTGTGTGTTTGTGTGTTTGTGATCACATGTGCCACATTTCTGAGGATTGAACTCAAGGCCTTGTGCACATTAGTCAAACTCTCTACTGCTGAACCACGGCCCTAATCCTCTTGAGACTCTCAGTTGCTTCCTGATCATTGTTTATTTAGCTAATGCAACAGGAGCCATCTAATAACTGCATCCCAGCCTTGGGCAGGTGGAACGAGTAAGGAAAGATGGATTCTCGTCTCCTGCCATCTGTCTGATTCTGCCCCAGTGGCTGCCACCAGTGTACATTGCTCAGGATGCAGCAGCAGGTATTTGACACAGTGAGCTTATGAAAGACAGAGACAGGTCCCTGGAAGCTGCTGATGGAGGTAGTCAGGCTTTGGAGAGGGTAACAGAGGTGAGTTGCTGCTGTGACTAACTGTTCACTAGAGGTCGAGCCATCCTCATCCCTTCTCCTAGAAGTTACTTCATGAAGTCCAAAGAGCTACAGATAGAAAGCATCAGACATTTGAACCCATCTCTTCCACAACATGCATTTTAGCTTTCTATATGTAATAAAGAACAGATAAAAGGTTTCCATTACTTCCTGTGAACCAAAGAATTTCTGAGCTGTGTTCCATTTCTTCCACAGATGACGGATCTAATAGATTTACTATACTTGATACAGACTATGATGATTATATTATAATTCATCTTAAAAACATCAAGAATGGGAAAAAATTCCAGTTGATGGAGCTCTATGGTAGAGTATTTTCACACATACACCGATCTTGGGATTTAAGAAGAAGATAGAAAGAAACCCTAGGCCTAACATGGTCTTTCTAGCCTGGCCCTGAACTGCCCCTCTTTTCCTTAACTCCTGAAAACAGATGCTCACCTCTGTCATCCCTCAGGCACAGTGGTGTGGGTGGGAGGACTTTGAAATCCTTTACTATGCCAGTAAGATATCCTATGGATGCCTAAAATAGCCTATGGATGCCAAATTCAAGACAGGTCATGTCCATGCCTGTTAATTGTGTTGTCAATCATTTTCTCATCCTTCCGGTGGGGGGAGGGGCTGTCCCATCATTCATCTCAGTGAAAGTGGTCAATACACAAGATGTAATCACTGCTGCCACCATTATTTTCCACAGGCCGGAAACCAGAGCTGAGTTCAAACATCAAGGAAAAGTTTGAGGAGCTAAGCAAGAAGCATGGAATTGTTAAGGAAAATATATTGGACCTAACTGAGGCTGGTAAGTCAGGACTCATATATCTTCCTTTTCCTGATTTTATACCATAGAAAGGACAAAAGTAGGACATTGGCAGTCAGACATGTTGCCGCTAGAGAAGCATCAGGTGTCTCTTGGGTAAATATATTGGACCTGGTCCCTGAATGTGTTCTTGTTCCTACCCTGCAGATCGCTGTCTCCAGGCCCGAGATGGAGAAAAGGCCTGAACCTCCCGGTGGGTAATCTCTAGTGAGAGTGAACAGGGGGTGAGCAAAAATGAGGCCCTTCCAAAGGCATTCTTATTACAATAAGAAATAATCAATAAGGAACCTTTGAGGAGAGCTTAAAATTTGGCTTCCAATTATCTGGGTTTGTGATTTAGTCCTACGAGCTTTTCAGTAAGTGACACAAGCGATTAAGTAAGGAAACTAGGATGTGGACTGAATTAGTGGCTGTACCATTGTATGAAAAGGAATCCGCAATGCATCAAACTTCATTAAGAATGTGAGTATAGATGCTCACCAGTGTCTGGGGTCCACCTCCCTCCCACTCCTGACACTGACATCTTCCTTTGACATCTGTGCAACCTTAGCTCCTTCCATGGGAATGGAACTTCCCAATCTGCACTCTCCTCCAGTCTAGAGAGCACACTAAGTTCCTCGTCTGTCCTCTTTCCCATTTATTCCAAGATTTCGCTCTGATAATGTGTGAAAGCCTTTAAAATGCTTTTATCATTATTCCTCAATTTACTGAAAATTCTTCAGAGCTTTGTAATGAGTCTTTCTCTGTTCCACCAGCCAGCTCCCAAATAATGACACAGACTTGTTATTCATTATGACAGTACAGCCTGTAGATTAGGCTTGTTCCTACTTAAGTTTTATAACTGAAGTTCACCCATTTACATTAATCTACATTCACATGGTGTTACCTCTCTTCCATCTTGAACCTCCTGTTTCCTCTCCAGTTCCTCTGGCTGACAACTCTGCCCCTTCCTTTTCCCATTTTCTCTCTCTCTCTCTCTCTCTCTCTCTCTCTCTCTCTCTCTCTCTCTCTCTCTCTCTCTCTGCCTGAAAGTCCCACCTAAATATCTTGTCTTGATATTGGCCATTCATCTCTTTATAAAACCAATCACAGTGACACATCTTCACCCAGTGTACAAATATCCCACAACAGAGCTGCTTATGTCAAAGACTGTGGGACAAGCTTCAGAACTTTCATTACTTTTATTTTTCTTATGGCATCAGTAAGGATAAAGTCATTTATTCTATGCCTTTCTCGTGGTTTTCTGGTTAGCAGGGGAAGGTCTGCTTCTTCACCCTGTGTCTGTGTACTAGAATGGCTCTCTGTCCTGAAGTCAGCTCTAGAAGTGCTTAATGAGTGTCTGTATGCTTTCTTCCTGGCTTACTCAGGGTTGAGTGGGGACTCCTAACCTGGACTCAAACACCATCCCTTCCTGTCTGCACGCTGTCCTGTGACAAGTCCTGTGATCTGATTCCCATCGCTGTCCCCCAGGAAACCATACTCCCTGCATCCCCACCATCTTTCCTGATTACCTAGGAATCAAAGGCTTTCTTTTAAATGTCTCTTTGTCACCCCCATGACAACTCTCCATGAATGTCTTCCTCTCCCTGTTCAATAAATGATTACCCTTGCAGATACATGTGTGTCTCTGTGTCCAAGATGATGTTGGAAAGACAAAGAGTAGATGAGGAACCTGCTGTGTCCTGTAGGCAAGTTCTTCCTCATGTCCCAGAATTGAACCCGAGTTTCAGGTTTTAACTCCTCTGCAATAATCTGAAGCCTCAATGAGTGCTGCCTGCTCATCGGTTCTCCTGTTTTAGTTGCCTTATAAGGACTATAGGAACACAGACTTGCTTCACACTTTCTCTATCCATAGAGACTCTTTTTCAACAGAGCATGGAGAGACACAGGCTTCTGAGGCTACACCTACTCAACATGGTTTCAGATATGTACCTCAGAAAAAAGAACGGTTTGGCCACTATAGGCACAAAGTAGAAAGAGAAAAGGCTCCATACCTCCCCACAGAATGCTCTGACCCTTAGATCAAGAGATTAAATTGGGTTCAAGCTCATGGCTCCTGAATCGAGTTATTGGTATGCTTTGCTAAAATGAGGCAAAACACTATTGAGAAAGACAACCAGTTATGCTGGAAATCTCCCCTCACTCCTTCCACCCCACCTCCTGATGGCTATGTTTCCTAGGCTGGCCTGAAATTCCTGGGTCGAAGTCATTCTCTGGCCACAGGCTCTTAAGTGACTGCAACTACATTCATGTACTGCCATGCCCAGCTTTTCATTTTTAATCTTGGCATTTAAGAGACAAAAAGAATCTTTATACAACATGAGCTATCCTTGAGCATACTCAGAAAAATAAAGAGCAGTTCTGATCCAGGACTCTGTTGATAGGAAATCAATGTCACCATGAGACAAGAGACCACCACGCAGAGAAAGGCACACAAAGACCTTTGCTGCTCCCAGGTCAAGATAGTAGTGTGAGTTCACCCTGAAGCTGCCCCTTCAACACCAAACACTTTGTGGGAATGAGTCATGAAATAGTAAAAACATTCAAAGTCAAGGAGGAAATTGCAAACCTCAGACACAGGGCAATTCTTTCTAAGGGAAAATACAAGGAAGTGATTGTTGGCAGGGTAGACTATTCTCCATGTTCTGGGGGCTCCCTGAAACTAGCCAGCATACAGGACTGGGGGTATCTGTCACAAAAGAATGTTAGATAAGGAGGCGCCCCTCAGAAGAATGAAGGCAGAGGCAGAGTGATGTTGAAGACAACTCCCCACCCTTACCTGGCCATACAATAAAAAGACAACTTCCTGTGACTACAGAAGCAGGCACCAACCATATGAAAGATCAAAGTGATGGTTACCATCTTGGGGATGGCCTGGCTTTTAGATCTAAAGTCCCCATTTCAACAAGCTGGCCTGATGTTCATGGTCGGCCCACAATGTTTTACTGGATATACATACCCTCATAAAACAGCAACATTAGGCAAGACCATTCTGAGATAGTAAAAACAAGATTATTTGTCATCTATAAACATGACTGTCCTTGCACAGAGGCCCCAGGGCGCAACGGTAGTGCGTCTGACTCCAAATATGACTGTCCTTGGGCTAAAATGATTGACAGCTACTTCTCTACCAACAGAGTTAGCTTGATGTTTGCCTCCACTTATTATAATGGGATTCACTGGGCTCTCCAATCACTGAGCTGTCATTGTCCCCCAGATGTACCTATCCTAAGCTTCCTAAGACACTCCCAAATCCTATAGCAGGTTCCTTGTTTTATTCCTTTTGAAAAGACTGTCTTGTGTGTGTGCACCCATGTGTATATGTGCATGTGTGTATGTAAAAGATAGAGTTTGGTGTCAAGTGTCTTGCTCTATCACTCCCCACCTTGTATTCTGAGATAAAATCTTTGACTGAACAAGAGCTTATGAATGTGACCAACTAGGCTGACTGGCCCACAAACCTGGGGAAGTCCTGCCTCTGCTTCCCCACTGCTGGGATTATAGGTTTGTATCACCATACTTAGCTTCTTCTGTAGATGCTGGGGATCCAAACTTAGGTGCCCAGGCTTTCAGGGAAAGAACCTGGTATCTTTCTGAGATGTCCCTGACTTCCCTTGGAGCATCCTTCCCTACTTCAGTAGTAGACTAGTAAACCCGACCTTGTATTACTTACAAGTATGCTCCTAGTGGTCTTTAGCCATTTTAAATTTTTGAGACAAAACACAGGTTACTCCATGACTTGAAAACATCAACCTAAATCATAAATGCAATGCTTGGTTTGATGATGTACTCTTAATAGGAGACAGAACCAAGAAAGTCTTCAAATTTTAGTCCAAGACATCAGAATAAGAGGGTTGCATTGCTCCAAATCTCTTTGGAGAATAGATTTAGTGGAGAAGGAAACGCCCCAGTTCATTTTTTAGGTAGGCCACTATCAAAAGGCCCTAGTGCAGGGAAGATGTCTCAGTTGGTACAGAGCTTGCTGTGCAAGTGTGAGGACCTGAGATTGATCCCTGGATCCACACAGAAGAGTTGAACTTGGTGGAGCACAGTGGCACATGCTTGTAATGCCAACAATGGGGAGATGGAGACAGGCAGATCCCGAGGGCTCAGCTTGTTGTCCGGCCCAGCCTCTAGCTCAGCCTGCTGGGCAGCAGGGAAACAACAGTCCTGGTTTCCAAATACAGTGGACAGCCTCTGGCAAACAACACTCGAGGTTGACCTCTGGCCTCCACACACACATGCACACATGCAAACCTGTACCACTGCACACACACATGCATGAACACACACACACACACACACACACACACACACACACACACACACACAGGTCCTATCATAATTCAATATGGCTCAGTTAAGATGGAATCAATTTCTCTGTCCATGTATTCATTCAGGAATTCAGGAACCTGGTTCTTTCTCTATATTATCCCCATGGGACATGTCCTTGTCCACATGGTACAAGATAAGAGGAGACAGTGGGTGACCCCTGTCTTCTGTTCACTCCACACTGGCTCTGAATCAAGGAAGTTCTGCCTCAACTTGTTATCCTTCAAGGAAAATTCCCACTTCTTGTTTGCTCAGATTCAGAGCAATTATCTTGAGCATTAAAGAGTCACATGGCTCGTCAAAGGCCAGGCATGAATTTCTTTTGGCAACACAATTCTTCAAAACCATAGAGGATGTGTGTTGTGTTTGGCCTTCAACCTCTCCATGTTTAGATACCTTACCTAGCCAGAGATTTAAGACTGGAAGCTCTTGGAATTTTCTGGATTGACCTCTAGGACCTGCCTACCCCCCTTCCTGTCCCTTATTTTGATGGTGGCCATTTTGAAGCCATCTAAAACAACAGACTTGAGTGGACTGGCTCTTTAATCACTTCAGGATCTCAGCAGCTTCTTATCAGCTGTTAAGCTTAGACTCTTCACTTCACAGACATCATTTACACTGTTGTGATTCAGGATGCAGAAGCAGAGACTGTCAAGTTGGAGTGAGGCTGCAGGCCAGGAAGGCCTGACTTTAGTAACACTCACTGCCTGTGAGCTGAAGGTTCCAGGAAAAGAAACTGTACTGTGCTACACATTCTACAAGGCTGAGCAACTGACTAAAACTTCAGTGACTGTAGAGAGCTGGAATGTTGTAGAACCAGAGCTAAATTGTCTTGTTTATCATTAATCCCCTAAATCATTCATTTCCTGCCTTTGTGTGTGACCCTAATATCTTGTGACTTTTAGGTAAAGAGGCTAATAATATTTTCAGTATCTGAGGCTGAAATTCCTTAATTTGATGTGACCCACCAACATGATGGTCACACCAATACATTTTTAAAGCATCTTAATCTATGTTTTTCTGTGTTATGTTACTATGAAGATGATTAAACTGTTGACACATTGGAATATGGTATTTGGGGTAGCCTAAAATCGTGTTCCTGGTCTATGATCACTCTTATTTGGCTCTAGAATAATCTGGCACTCTCTCTGTCTCTGTGTCTGTCTCTGTCTGTCTCTGTCTCTCTCTCTCTCAAACACACACACACACACACACACACACACACACACACACACTATTTATTTATTGTTGAGGGAGGGGTCCGACCCATGGGAGTGTAGAGGTCAGAGGTCACCTTTTGGGACTTCATCCTCTCCTTGTACTATGTGCACTCTAGGTATTGAAATTAGGTTATCAGTTGTTGTGAAATGATATTTTTGTAAACTGTGAAGATGTACTTCTGCTTAAGGCACCTTCTGATTGGCATAATAAAGAGATGAATGGCCAATAGCTAGGAAGGAGCAAAGAGGCAGAACTTCTGGTGAGATAAAGTAATTTGGGAGAATCTGAGGCATGTGGGATTAAACCATTGAGACACCTTGTAGAAGACACATAATGAGCCACTCGGCAGAATGTAGATAAATATAAACAAGTTAATTTAAGTTATAAAAGCTAGTTGGAAACAAGCCCAGGCTAAGGCCAAGCTTTCATAATTAGTAAGAGGTCTCCATGTCATTATTTGGAAACTGGCACTACAAAGAAAGTCAGACTATAATCAGTCCTAGCAATCAGCTCCTTTACCTGCTAGGATAATTGGCCTGCTTCAGGATAATGTTGTGGAATATTACTTTAACTAGGCAAAGATGTGTTATATTTGGTTATGTTGTGGAATATTGCTTTAACTATGAAAAGTGTGTTACATTTATTTATGCTGCATTTGTTAAATGATGTAAAGATCTGTTCCATTTGTTTCACCTTGCCTGCCTAAGGCACCTTATTGGTCTAATAAAAATCTGAATGACCAATCGCTAGGCAGTAGAGGGATAGGTGGGGCTGGGGGGCAGAGAGAATAAATAGAAGGAGAAATCTAAAGAAGAGAAGGAGAGGAGAATGAGGGAGATAGAGAGGGGGGCACCTGGGGCTATCCAGACAGACATGAAGTTGGACATACAGAATGAAAGTTAAAAAGCCCTGAGGCAAAACAAAGATGAAGAGAAATGGGTTAAATTAAGTTATTTGCAAGTAGGACAAGCATAAGCTAAGCATATTACATCTCCATGTCATGATTTGGGAGCTGTTTGGTGGTCCAAAGAAAGTCTAAACTTAAATAAATTCTTTTTTTTTT